TTGTGTTTGGTGGTTCCGATATGAACTGAACCACAGGAACAGGAAATCCTGACTAGTTCTTGGTTACGCGGTATACATCATCAGTGGTATATGCGTTGACTGCGAGGAAGAAGGTATTATCTATAATGTCTCAGTAAAAATTGTCTGTTGACCTTTGTGTTAACTCACGTTCATAATTTTAGAAGAATGTGGGGGTGATGGTGAGAAGGGTGGTGAGGAAAATGGTGCGGATTCAGGTGGTGGTGGTGTCCATGTAAATGTTCACTTAAGATTGGTTCATACTTTTGCTACAATTTTCTGATTGGTCCATGTTGCTGCTAATGCAATGTCGATCTGAAATGTGTTCCAGTTCATTTCTGGCCGCTTTTTTGAGTTCTGGATACCACGCTCTAATAAGCGGTATACCTTCTTATGTTCCGTTGATATTGATGGGATGCTCAGATGCCACTGGGGGCTGGTACGCTTTTCTCTTGAAAAACTTCTTGATCGATAAATCCGAAAATGGTATCTTTCCTCCTTTTCCTTTTCCATAGTGAACTGGATGCGACGATATATTGCTGTTCTAATGCTTGTTCCATTTGGCTCCAAATGACGAAGTTCCATTATCGTAGCGAAACCAACAAGTAGGTTACGATGAAGCAATGCCGAGCGCTTTCTTATTGAAAACCTTCATGTGAAAATTTACAAACTATGGAAACAGTTATCATTATTGAATAATTTCATTACGATTATTGCAGTGTCCATTTGTTATTATTTTTTTTAAGGAGAAAATACAAGCACAACAGGAAAATCCTTAAGGCGCTCTTAGAGCGGTGCCTGTACGAAAGTAGCGATTTACATTGGATTTGAACCACTGGAGATTAAATTCATTTGGAAAAAAGTTCTAAGGAAATTTATTCCACATAAACGCAGTTCTCCAGATGAAAGTGTTCTTGACCAGTAAAGTTCGAGGTGTACTAAGTTGAATATCAAAACGATGAGCAGCCATAGTTCGTCGCATATTTCTGATATGTACCGCTCTTGGTGGAATCAAATGTAATGTGCCAATTCCCGTGAAAGTGTCTATAGAAGAGAGACAAATCTCAAACCTTTCTTCGATGTTCCAGGCTATCTAGGTTGCACGTGATGTTCGCATCCCCAATCAGACGGATGGCTCTTTTCTGCATGGAATTTCACAACTTCAGGGTATTTTTGGAGAAAGAACTTCAATCATTTTTGTAAGAATTATTTCGCCGTCTTCTTGCCTAATTTTGTTTCGCATTTATCATATGAAAATTTCATTATTTTTGTTACTTCTAAGAGGAGTAGCTCTGCTCCTTGTTGGGTACGCTCATGATAATTGCCACAACCAAGCAAAAAAAAGTACTCAGCTTGAATGCGAGTCTGAATTTGAAACTGCTACTTGTATGACAAATAAATAAGCGAGTCTCATCTGTATGGAACAACAAAGTTTACTGTAGAAGAGATTGTATCTTGGTAAAATATAAATCATGAGAATCTGGCGGGATAATAACAGTATGAAGTAGTTTTGGTCATCAAATATATATTATTTCAATTAAACCTGCATGTTCTCAAGAATTTTTTTTGAAATTGGTAATATCTACTGAAATTTTCTCCAAATACTCTATTCCAATGGCATGAGAAATGATTTTCATTATTTAATTAACTTGGTTTTTTTATATTGGAGCTCTCAATATACGGGGTGTTTTCTAATTGCGGTGAAAAAAATGCAAAGGCGTATTCCGAAGCTTATTTTGTGAAAAAAAGTTAATGAAAACATAGTTTCGGAAATGTATAATGTTTTTAAAGAAAAACATTATATTATTTTTGTAAATATCCATCATCCGATTAAGGTGAAATTTGGCAATGTTATTTTCAGAGTTAAGAGATTCGTTTAGTCCTGATTAAATACACATTGTTGTTTCTTGTGAGATTCAATTTTGTATTGGGTAAAGCATCTNGCCCAAACAAATTTCCACATGAATGCGCATGAGCAACGGGAACAGTTCTCAAAAGTTCAGCCTTGAGGGCAAGAACGTTTCGAGACGGTTCCAGTCAGTTTAGGATCATTTCGCAATCGAAACCACAACAGAGGATTCATCAGTCCGAAATTATCCTCAATAAACCAGAACGCTCTATATCAACTGCGCATGATCCTGACGTCCTAGAACCTGAATTTCGTAGAACCAGAACAAACCTTTAGTAGAAATTAGACAAAATTTATTTTCTTTAATCTTTATTCAATATGAATTTCTTTGAAATAAATAGGTCATAACAAGTTAGATTTTGAGTCATTATTTCTTTTAGCTGCTCTGCTGAGTCAGGTTGCGTCTTAAAAACAACAGATTTTAGGTGGCACCAGAAGAAGAAATCAAGGAAAGATAGGTCCGGGGATCTAGCAGACCATTCAATAGGACTTTTTTTCCAATCTATTGAATAGCAAAATTATTATCTAACCATTGTCTAACTGGAACTAAATGAATATTACTGGAGTTCTCCCCCAAAACCGTTATTTTTAACACCTCGACACATGTTTCAACCACCAGATGATCATCTGCAAGAGGAAGCTTTGTCGTCTTCTTGAAGATGATCACTTAAACATTTTTTAAATTAATAATAGAAAATTTTAATTTAAATGAATAGTGTTTTATTCAATAGACCAAAACTTACTACATTGAATTTAAGTTTGTAGGGTATCAATGAAGAGCATTTCTTAAGAGCTTTCAGATAAGGTATCACAAGTAGGGGGTTGCCATTTGAGAATATATAAAGTTGGTGTGGCTGGAGACGAGGGGGGTGAGTGAAAACAAGTTAGCTATTACATCATTTTGTTTCTCCTTCCAGGTCATGAAGTTGTTTCCAGTGATTTTTTATATTTCATTTGTTTGATCAGATATAGCCACTGATCAGTTTTTGAACTACTTATGACTGAAATAAGTTTTTGGGACATTCAGTATCCCCCAAATTTACCACTTTCTTTGCCACCAGTCAATTCTGGATTTTCCTTCAGGGCCTTCAGTTCTGAAGTTGTCCAGGATTTGAATTTGTGATTTCTGACGAGGAGAAGCTCTCAGGTACTCTCTCTTGTTTCTGGGTACCCCTCAGTATTTGTTTTCAGATTATTTATTGAGCTCTACTATCCCTTCCAGAGTATCTTATAGAGATTAGCACACCCTTCTCGCAAAGCCCCTCTCATGCTTCAACTCGATCACAGATTACGACAAGGGTTCCTCAAAGTACGTAATTTGTCGAAATCCAGATATGTATGGATGTAAATTAAAAATATTATTTAAACAAGAAGATATTTTCGTTTTTCTAATTAATAATCATATTTCATAGGTTAGGTACTGAAACAATTCAAAATCTTCTGTCTAGTTCATGAAGCCCCTCATTAGGAATCATAATCTGAAAGGGTACCCGTTATTCTAATAGTGAAATTGCTTTATTTTTAATATAGATACAAATCCGTGACGAAATTGTAACAAAAGATTTGTTCCGCTATTTATATAGAGGTAATTGTTAATGAGTAATCAGAGTAGGTGTATTTTTCAATGGGAATTACCTTCACTCACATGATCGGTACAAAGTCAATGCCACCAAGATTAATTCATATAAATCTCGTTCAGCGAGTTCGAGAAAGTTGAAAACTATTTGAATTCATTTATTACGTTAATGATATTATCAATTATATTTTAAATTCTATAAAATTATGTTCACGAAACGTCGAGTTAGTTGTTATAATTGAAAACTCAAAGGTTCACAAAAAGATTATTGCATAAAAATTTCTTAGTTAAAAATGAACATGTTGAAATTTTTATGAATGAGATGAATTGTTGGTCATTCTACTTGGCGTGAAAAATCACGTCATTTGTTAACAAATTGTTTATAAACAAATAATGAAATTCAATAGTTAGGAAAAAATGTTTTTGCCATTTTTTTAAAAATTGAATAGAAGATACTTAATGAAAATCCATATTGGATAACTAANAAATCAGTGGTGTTTCAGCATTTCTATTTAAAATGATTCAGTGCAAATTCCGCACGTATGCCACAAACAAGAATAAAAATTATGTTGTAGTACCTTTTGAGATAATTCAGGAGCGAATCTACAGAGGAGATGGATGTCGAGTTTGCGACTCCAACTGACCTCCCTGTGAATTTAGTTCAGGAGCGAGAGCCCCTCAACTCCCTAACTCCTGATCCAAGAACTGAACCTTGAAAAAAGGTTTGGTGGTGCAGCCAGGAAACGCCTGAGTCGTCTCCTCAAGAGTAGGGTACCTTATAAAACTGCCTTGCACCAAATTCTTGAGCGGCGTACGCAGAATCTGTCTCAGGTGGGGGAACAAACCCCTCATGAGCAGGTTAGCACGGCTGAATTCAAGGCATCGTCAAGTGTGGCTGACGTGCAAAAACCCTCATATGGGAAGGTTGTCGTGGGTATCAAATTGGGAATCTTCCAACTTAACTATCCAACTACCTCATTAACAGAGCATATACTCTGTGCCTGCCCTGCTGGGGACCGAATCAGGTTTTTAGAGTTCGGCGAGCCGTACTCTTACCATCTGACCTGAAAGACCACACACCATACAAACTAATCGGCTTCATTAAGAAGCTGGGTTTATTTGGCCGAGTGTGAATAGGTGTTAGCCACAAAAAACCCTTGCGGGTTGTGGTGGAGGGTCGAATAGACCCACTCACTTTGGACCTAACCTAACCTAACCTTTTGAGATATAGAAGATGCGTATGGATTATGGCCGTACCAAAGTAATCATAATCAAATATATATTTTTGTCAAATCTCCAGTACCCTGTACTTATTTTGTTACAGATATGCTTCTTGTTTGAAATGTGTATTCCAGAATATTTGTGAAAATAAAACAATTGTAACATCCTGAATGATGTGGAAAAAAAACAAATACATTTATTCAGGTTGAAATGTGGTAAGATATTTCTGAGGAAGTATCGAACAATATATATTTATGTGAAATAAGAAAAACTCACCAGTAACGCAATGTTGGGAAGAATCAGAAGATCATCTTCTTTTCGCCCCATTGATAATTCTTCTACCCATTCCAAAGGATGTTTCGGTACTGCAGTTAAAGTCCCATTTTTATTGAAAGTAACATTTTCATGGGCCATCAGTTCTCTGCAAAGTGAATGGAGAAAATTACGACGGATTTTGATTTTGAGAACACTTCGAGACTATTAGAATGGGAAAAGAAACATAAGTGGAACCACCTATTGGTGTGACACCCAAGTCAACTTGCCAAGTTTTTATGTCAGTGTTGGTGGTTTGACCAATCAACCGACAACTGAATGTTGTCGACTTTGATCTTCGAAACTTCGACTTTTATCTCTAAATTTCGACTTTTATTTCGAAATTTCGAGATAAAAGTCGAAATTTCGATATCGAAGTCGAAATTTCGATATCGAAGTCGAAATTTCGAGATTAAAGTCGAAATTTCGAGTTTGAAGTCGTAATTTCAAAATTACGAGATTAAAGTCGAAATTCAAAGATAAAAAAAGTTGAAATTTCGAGATAAAAGTCGAAATTTCGAGATTCAAAGTCGTAATTTCCAAGAAACAAATGATAAAAATATGTGGCCCTTCTGCACTTCCGTATTAAATACTTACATTGTACATTCAATGTAGATCAATATGGCCCTTTACATTAATTAAATTCAAATGGATATTTTCGAAGATATTACAGTTTAAAATTCAGGGACAAAGCGGTTGAGGCGGTACGGCCGACAACGCGTGGTGGTGGAGGAACTTGTTCAAATTATAAGCAGAGTTCACGGGGTAATAATAATATTTTTTTGACTGAAATTGCTGGAATTCTTTGTTGTCTCTACCGCTCCCATTTCAAACAAAGTGGATATAAGACAAATTAATCTGTATATGTGGAGTAGGAAGGGTGAGCCCACAGCATGCCACATGTGACTCATTGTACATTCTCCCGAAGAGTTGTCCTCCTAGGTCAACGTCCATACTGTCCTTTCCACGAAGGTGGAAAGACAAAGGAATATTTTATTCAATAATCTTTAATGTGGTATGAACCCATTTTCAATTCAAAATTCCGTACATTGGATTCCATAATCATTTTTTTCAATACGGACAAAACATGTATTTCCTGACGTTTCTCTCCGTTAAATCACAGATTAATCACCAGACATGTCTCTAAAAAGTAGAGACCAATATAGACTTCTTACTCGAAAACATGAATTATTTAAAACTCAATTACCAAAATACTACACGCACTGAAGAGTCTCGGGCCTAACACATGACCGCACTAGTTTTATAGCATTCACCACTTTTTCAGTTAGTACTAAACTTCAAAAGATGGCTTTTGAGATTTCATGTATTCTACTCATAAATTTGTGAGTTATCGTGCTGGGGATGACACTACTTTTGTTATTTTCAAATCAATGGATCAAAAACAAGTTCGTGTTTTAATTTTGCACTGCTTCTTGATGAGAAAAAATACCGTTCAAACGAAGCAATGGCTTGAAAAGTATTATAAGGACTCCGCTTCATCAGAAACAACAATTAAAAGTTAGTTTGCTGACTTCGAACGTGTTTGTAGAGACACCGATGATGCAGAACGCAGTGGACGTCCAGATGAGGTAGTAATACCAGAAAACATAAAAAATCCACAAAACCGTTTTGAATGATCGAAAAGTGAAGTTGCGTGAGTTAGCTGACATTGTAAAGATATCGAATGAAGGTGTTGGCTCTAATTGCATGAGCATTTTACTACGAGAAAGTGGGTACAGCGCGAGCTTACTTTTGAACGAAAACAAGAGCGTCTTAATGATTCTGAGTAGTGTTTGACCGTGTTTAAATATAACAAACCAGAATTTTTGCATCGTTATGTGACAATGGATGAAACATGGATCCATCACATCACTGCGGAATCAATACGATAGTCATCTGAGTGGAAACCAACTGGTGAACCTTGTCCAAATCACCCGAAAGCACAACAATAGGCTGGAAAGGGTATGGCCTCGGTATTTTGGGATGTGCGTAATATTCATCGACTATCTTGAGAGAAATATCATTATCGTTTGAAGGCCGAAATTGAAAAGAAACGATCGCGTATTAAGTTTCACCAAGACAACGTACCGTGTCAATCAAAACTACATGAATTGAAGTTCGAATTGCTCCCACATTCATCGTATTCGCCAGATTTGGCTCCCAGCGATTACCGGCTGTTCGCAGACCTCGAAAAAATGCTCACTGGTTAAAAATTTCGCGTTTGTGTGGCTCTTGATGGAGATTACGTTGATGAACTAAAAAAACCGCGTTTTTTTTCTTAGGCCCGGGACTTTTTAGGCCATCTGTTATAATACATTGGATTCATTTCTTTTGGGGACAATACCAGAGTTACTCAAAGGTAATTTATTCTCAGTTGGGAATCCATTGAAAACAGTTGGGCAAAGGTAGAGACCTATATACCGGGTGTCCCACATTTTATGTGACAGGCAATATCTGGTTTGTTGAAGGAGATACACAAAAATGTTTCATACAAAAGTTTTAGGAGTTCATGAGAGCTATATTTTGATATAATTTTTAAATATACAGGGTGTTTGGTGTAGGTGCTACAGACCAAAATTCCATTTTTTAAAATAGAACGCCCTGTATATCATTACATATTCAGATGCTACGTTAAATT